TAATTAAAAAAACTTTTTCCATTTCTATCTCTCTCTGTATATGTATACATTTGTGTGTGTGTGTGTGTGTGTGTGTGTGTGTGTGTGTGTATTACCTTATTCTTTAAGGGAATAACATTTTAGTAGAGCTTTCATTGCATCTTAAACGATTCTAAGGTCAGCAAATGGATTTAAAATATCTGTATGTGTTCAAAAATTACCTTTAAAAAGCCTCCCAGGACAAACTATACTTCCTGAGCAAAACTTTGATCAGTTTCCTGATCTTGCCAAAACATATGGGTCAATCACTTTGACTAATCTTCAATAAATGCCAGGCTGCCAATTAAGCAGTAGGATCATAATTTCTTTTAGTCTTCAGAACAATTTTGCTAACCTTATTGGAAAAGAATGGGGCATTTTTATTTATATATTTTTATAATGACTCACTACCCAGAAACTCATTGTTCATCACATAAATGTTGAGGGAGATTTTTAAAATAGATTTTTCCCCTTTCTTTATAGATTTTTAAGACTTGTGAGAAAGGTATATAGCCAAAGCATTTTATGTCACTAGGACAAATCAGTAAATAAGAAACATTCAAGATTAGTGTATATCTGCCAAGGGAACAGGCAGAAGTTGGTGGGATCTATCACGAGGTGTCTGCCCTAAAATGTCTCTGGTACCCAACTCTTCATTGCCACCAATAATAAATCAAGGAGACATAGAAAACAGGATGCACTTTCCTAGGGTATCAAAGTGGACAGTGAAGAAAATACAGTCAATCCCTCAAATAACTCCTGCTGCTGTTTATTTAAGTAATCTATATTTTAAAAAATATTGACCTTAAAAACTATGTGAAGAACCTAAAATAAAGTCAACCTTATTGTTTCTAATATGTATCTATTAATAAAAAAATGACATGACATAGTGGTACCAACAAGAATTATGATCAGTAACTTCATCTAACATTGTGATAGACTTGACAGCTCACTGAGTGATCTTACAAGCATTACTTCACTGTAGGTGCACAGGTACAGTTAGTACCTCCATTTTACAGAGAATGAGATCGAAGCTCTGAGATGCCACGCAGCCTTGTAACATTAATGAGCAACTAAGTGGCAGAGTAGAAAGTCACCCAAGGCTTCTGACTACAAGTCTAGATTTATTCTCACTATATCCTATACTACAGAAGCCCTTCAAAATAAACTCAAATCATCAAATCTCCTGTTGGAATTTGCCAAGGCATGTATTTTCTACATTATTAACTTATCATTTCCTGTCATACAAAATATTTGTTCGTGAAAGAAGGAAAGAAAGAGAAGTAACATTTGCTGATCACTCACTACATGCTAGGTGGGAAACTCTTACCACTTTCATATGTATTCTAACAGTGTATTAAAATTCACTCCCATTTTACATCAATATAATGTTTTTTGAGAAAAAAATTAGAATAATTACTATTATCCCTTTTGCTTTTGAAATTATTGGCTATAAGTTATTCATTTAATTAGGATAAGCTCTGATTTCTCAGCAACCATTTTGTGCCAACTTGAGATTTTTGGTGAAGAAAATCTAACCTACATATTGTTTTCAAATATCATTACATTTTTATGAACACAAAATTTAACAACTCATGAACTTGACATAATCCTATGCTTCACAGACATTTAATAAAACATTTACTCATTTAGATTTTGCCATTTTCTTTTCATAGTTTCCAGGGAATGATGTTTTCCCTTGTCTCAATTTTTTTTTTAAGTCACTGAAAAACCAATAGCACCCTAACACTGTGCTCTGGTGTCTGATAAATAAAGTGGCCTGGGCACAGTGCCAGGCACTTTACAGACCTTATCTCACAAGATTATCTGTCCAGTAAAAAAAAGAATGCTAGAGTACATATAATAGGTTACAATAGCAAACACCCAGAAAATCTATAAATAAGAGGACAACCTCCTAGGGAATTCCTGTAACACGCAAGCAATTTCAGTGTTCCTCTATCTGAATAATGGTTCAGTCCAGGGAGAAATTATAGTGAAGATAGAGGGTAAATTGAAAAAATAAAATCCGCATAGATAAAGTCCCATTCTCCTCTTTAAAAATGTTACTAGAAATCTTAATCGAATATGGACTTCACTTGATAAAAACGTATGAATGTCAGTTTATTAGTTGTTACAAATATATCATACTAATGTTAGACCTTAACAACAGGTAAACTAGGTACAAGATATACCAGAACTCTCTGTACTACCGTTACAACTTTTCTGTAAACCCAGAACTATTCCAAAATAAAAGGTTTATTTTTGTAAAATCCAGTTAAAATAAAAGTATTTAAAACAGAAAAGAAGTCACTAACAGTTTTCCCTTCACCCTTTCCCTTTCCTTCCTTTCCCTTCATAGACAATTCGGTCTTGAATCCTTAGGTGGGGCAGCGCCAACTGCCTATGCGGTAGAGCTCAAGCAAGGTGAACGAGGCTCCTACGCTGGGAGAAGGCACGGCAAAGGGGGCTGGAACCCAGTGAGGAGAGGAGGGCAACTGCAGGCAGGAGCACCTCGATATGGGAGACAGAGTCTCAGCAGGGTGGTGAGGGCATTCATGCAAGAGGAAGATTTGGTGTGGGGTGTCGAAGTGAGAGAGAAGGATATCCAGGAAAACAGGGAGGAATTGCCAGAGTCTGAGCAGGACAGCACGGGCATTCACAAGTGACGGGGCCTGGTAGGGGTTGACAGAGACCAAGAGGGGTAAAAAGCACATCTGCACTTTGAGAAGGAGTGATCAGCATGGGATTTCAGAGCTTGAAAAGGGTAAAGAAGGCTGTAAGGAGGGGTGTCTGAGAGTGGGGTGACAAAGCACCAGCAGGTTGAAGAGGGTGATGTGCGGTGTGAGAGGGAGGCAGCCTTGTATGGAGAAACGCCTGAACGGCGGGGAGTGCACATGTGCGAAAGAGGAAAGCCGAGAGCAGCATGTGGGAAACTAAGCAGGGTGAGAAGGTGTCATCCAGTGGGTGGAACTGGCCAGTGCAAGTGCCAGAGACTGAGGAGGTGAAGGAGGGCATCGGCAAGGAGGGGCTACCTGGTGCGGGATGCCAGAGCGTGACCAGGTGGAGGAAGGTGCCCACGAGGGGGAGCAGACAGCCACAGTATAAGATTGATTACATACAAGGGACTGGTAGCATAAACAGGCATGTGAAGGATAATGGGAACCAGGTTTTACACTGTTAAAGAAAGGAGTCACAGATATGGAGAAAGAGAAAAGCAGAATGTACCCTCTGTTGATAGACTAGAATTGGAGGTATTAGTATGAACCGATGGTTTTCAATATACACAGATACAGAAAAATCAATATAAATGTGTGGCGGGCGGGGAGTGTATTTGTGTAAACTATGCACCGAGAGGGCCTGGGAGCAGTTTTGTCTCGACAGTAACTAGTACACCTGGTGCCCAGATATTAGCTTCTAAATATCATCCTCAACTAAAAGAAACTAAGGCTCTTTGGAAAAATAGATGATACAGACACACATACATATGATATATATTATATAATATATTCTTAGAATAATATATCTAACATACAGTAATATATGTGTATACATCCTAACAATAACTTACTCTGACAATATTTTTAATTTACAATCTAATAAGGAAAGAGCTTGACTTGAAAAACTGTACTGGTTTCTAGTATTTAACATAATAAGCTTTTTTTCCATCCCTAGCTTTTGTCCAAGTTATGCTTTGTTATGCTGAGTTTCTACAGAATAGTATAGACAGCAAACATAAGGGATTACAATAAAATAATACAATAACATTTTAAAATGTTACATATATATATAATATATATATTTTTTTAAACCAGGAAATATGCTGGATATACTTAGTTCCCAACTGGATAACCAGAAACCATTCTATGAAAAGCTCAGGATGAAAAACAGGTTACTGGTCACACCTTTTCTCACCTTTCTTCATTTAAGAAACTGACATTTTCTTTTTTTGCAACATGAAAGAAAAGTAAGGCAAAACAAAAGTAAAAACTACAACTCTCTGTAGGGAATGAAGGAGAAGGGACTTTTACCGAATGTTAGACATTATACTCTTCACCTAATATTCATTATAATATTTTGTTCTATACAATAATTTTAAGTAGGTATTGACATATATTCCCATTTTAAAAATGAGAAATTGATTAAAAGAATTTATTCACAGTTTAAGCATCTAATCATATAATAATAACATATAGAGGCTAAATTTAAAGTCAAAATTGTCTTTACATGAAATCCATGAAATGCATGGTCTTTCGATGAACCATATTGCTTCCACTGATTCTTACCACATCTCTTTGGGTGGAAAAAGTAAGTGCTATCGTCATTAACCTGTGTGTATGTGTGTGCATGTATTCAAGAGAAGAGAGAATGATTGTTTTACATGTTTCTATGACTAGAAAGGTTACACATCAAAACCCAGAATAAAAATAAATTTGCTCTGTAGCAGAGTCTTAAGAATTAAAACACATTTTTCCAAAGAGTCTACATTCTTTCATGTATTATTTAATCTGGTTAGGTAATAGCCAGATGTACACCTTTTTAAAACTGTCTGATCTTAGAAAACATTTATGAAAGTATGTATACTATTTTTATCAGAAATATGAAAATCCTAACTCATTTGACAAAAAGTTTTCTAGATAACAACATGTAGTGACATGATAATTAGCCAACATCCAAGTGAAGAGCAGGTAAAATATTAGAGCCAGGAAATAGCACTGTAAGTATCAATTTGCACACCTTTCTCTCAGATCAGAATCTTTTCACTTACAGAAATGTCTTCTCTTTGTTTCTTCCTGAATGTTATTAACCCTGATGGCATGTTAGCTATGCCTGTCAAGGATTCAGTGGGGGTGGGGGGGCAAAAAAAAAAGGATTCAGTAGAAAACTTTGCACATGCAAATTCACTGTTTGTCTTTAGCATTTAGAAATCCAAGTAATTATACATGTAGGACCATTGCTAAGAGTTTTGGAGTAGACACATTTATAATAATTATATAACTCACTTAGCATTTTTAATAAAGTGTCCTATAAATAAGAAAATTCATAAATTAATATGGATCTTGAGAATATTTCCAAGTTATAGTATAAAAAGGAAAGAGTATGATTTGAAAAATTGTACTACATTTCCGGTATTTAACTCAGTAAGTTTTTATTCTATGCCTAGCTTTTGTCCAAGATACATTTAATTATGTTGAATTTCAACAGAATAATACGGATAGCATAGATTGGTAAAGAGAAAAATGAATAGTGAATAGTGTTGCTATTAATGCAGGTGAGCAAATGTCTCTTGGAAATCAGGGATTGGATTCTTTTGGATAGATGCCCAGAAGTGGGATTGCTGGATCATATGGTAATTCTAATTTTAATTTTTTTGAGGAAACTTCATATTGTTTTCCATGTGGTTGAACTATTTTACAATCTCACCAATAGTGCACAAGGATTTCAATTTTTCCACATCCTTGTCAACACTTGTTATTTTCTGGTTTTTTGGTAATAGCCAACCTAATGGATGTAAAGTACACAATTATTTTTAATGTAGGATAATGGACACTATATTCCTGGAAATTTGTTTTCAAATTAAACACTTTTTGGAATAGATAAAGGTCAATTGCTTTTTGAATGGATGAAGCACCATTGTCCTTAGTCTCACAGGGTTGGATTATTGTTTTGTTCCCAAGTACTCAACTATTATACCATGAAGTCTACCTTTGCAGAGCTAAGAAAGGCTGTATCACTCCGACGTGATTTTAATTACTCTGGCAAAGGCTACTGTAACATCAGCAACAAAGAGAGAGGAAGAGGTTTTCAGTGTTTATAAGAAGTATCAACAAAAGATATTATTACATGATAGTAATATCTCAAACTGGTATTTCTGACAATGCCAATGCAAAACCCTAATCTAATAGCAGGGCTTTGCTAGGTTTGGTCAGAATTCATGTAAGAGCACTTCACACCTTAAACTCAACTGTTTCTGATAACAAAACTAATATACATTTTTATTTTCTTTAAATTTTTTTTTAAACCTTCTGAGCTGTGTCACTCTAATTTTGGTGGGTTTCTCCCAATCAAGGGTTTAGCTATGAAGCAACTCCTAGGCATAAACTGGCTTATCTTTTTGTAGAGTATCTTTTTGACAATATGTATCAAAACCCTTACAAAAATAATCATTTCTCCAGATATTTTTATATCTGGAATTATCTTAATTGTGAAATGAATTAACAAAAGTTAAGATTCAAAGATGTTCATAGAATGTTGCTTATTTTAACTAAAAAGTAGGCAATTTAAAATGCCCAAGACTAGAGGATTGGTTAATAAAGTGCATTTGTACATTGGAATCAATGCAGCCATTAAACATCATGCTATTGCTGTATTAT